ATGAATGCTTAATTTTGATAAATTTTTAGCACTAAAATGGCTGCCATCTTGAATTGCATCATGAAACAAATGCATGTGCTTATATATACGATATGCTGTGTGAAGTATGTATGTGTAAAATTTGATGTGGCCACCAGTCAGCCATTTTTAATATGATCTGTGAGAAAAAAATGACGTGCATCAAAAAACTGATTAGATTCAATGGACAATCTGGACTATGTCCGAACAGGGATTAAAAAAAACAAAACAAGCAACACAATTATTGTATCTATAGCTAAGCATTGAATTTATTTTTGCCTTGAAAAATACATAATTCCATTGATTTATTTAAAAAAAATAGTCTTGTACCATTATTTCATAATTCAATGCAAGTCATCAATGTAAAAATGATATCTTGGATTGCAGAATATATACTACTTTCTTGTGTCAATTGTTGCAACACAGTGCCCTCCAGTGGCAAAATAGTTTGAATAAACTAAAACAGTGATAATTGATAAGGAAATGTGGTGCTGTGCCATGACCTTTCTTGTTAAAAGAACTTTGTAACAAATTAAATTTAAGTTATTAACTGTTTTACACAAAAACATAAATCACAATGTCAAAGTTGCCTAGATATTACAAACTACGGTAAATACAGTGAACCCTGTCATTTTTATTTTAAGTAATTTTCACAATTTACGATTTTTGCCCTTATTGCAAAAAGTTGTCGCATTAAAACAGTCAACAGTACCTAAACAGTCGCTAATACAGGTCCATGCCACATATTAACAGTTAATACCCAGTTTATTTCTACAAATGTGATGTGATGAATGGCACTTTAATCGTAGGATGATGCATTACAAATTTTATAACCTGGATGCAGCTTCTGTGGCCCAAGTTCGTATGGTGAGGCACCCTAGCTTGTGAGAGTGCATTATCTGCACAACAAAGTAATTATTTTGAACTAGATTCACTGCCAGAACCCAGATCAAAACATGCGACATCTTGAATGTGGTGAAATGTTGGCTATAAATATCTTCCTATGCTAAACAGCTAGTTACAGATGGCGTGATAGACGTTTTGTTAAAGCAAACCCTACAACATACTGACAAGACCAAAATGAATTACTGGTAGTTATCATCTCCAGCAATGACATGAGCCCTCAACTGTCTGAGACAAGTTTCTATTGTGTTGCTTCAAATCTTTAAAAAGGGAATGTGATATGGAAAATTAATGCATGGCTTGATCATCAGGTATCTCGTAGCATCACAAGCCCAGGCAATATGTATATACACTACACACAAAAAACACATAATAGTGATATTTTCTGAATTGCAGTAGATCTGAACATTAATGGTAAATTTACAGATTGCTATGTTGGTCCATCTCAAATATAAAAGTAAAAAAAAAAATTTTTTTTTTTTTTGCAAAATAAACAAAAACAAAACAATACAGTGTCATGAAACTAATATCAACATCTCTGTCAACATTATTTGATACAGTGAGAGTACTGTGGAATACTTTATTTTCGCTGGAATTAATTTTCGCTGGAATTAATTTTCGCTGAAAAGGCTTTTT